TTTAAAGTTTTATTTTCTTCTTTCGTTTTTTTTTTTTTTTTTTTTTTTTTTTTTTTAAAAGTTTTAGGATTGTTACAATTTATCATGAACTTATTATTTTATTTTTTACAAATAGCATGAATGCCTAACGTGTGTATACTTATTTATTATTATTATTTATTTATTAAAAACCAGGAAAGAGGATACAATGGTTAGATCAAAAAATCCATTTTGGGATTATTGTGAAGAAAAAGGATATAAATTGTATTGCAATTTTTGCGGTGATGGATTTTCTGCCGGGATAACAAGATTCAAATATCACTTGTCAAGATAACAAGGGAATGATATAAAAGCTTGTCCTTAAGTACCGGATGATGTACAAGCTATAGCCGTTTCTGCGATACACGCGGTATCTTCTAAGCCTCCAAAAAAGAAGAACAAAATTTCATCATATGTTCAAAATACTGATCAATGTTTGATAAACTTAGGTACATCTACTATCAGTTCCGTTTGCAACAAAGTTTTTTTACCGTCATTGTTGAATAAGAAAAATAAAGATTTTGTTGACAAAGAAGCTGCTCTTGCATTTATTATAAGTAATGTTGCATTTAATGTTATTAATGCGTAATTATTTGTGAATATGATAAATGCATATATCAATTTTGGTCCTAGCTACACATTACCAAGTTATTCATCTGTTCGCACTAAATTGGTACAAGAACTTAAGACAGATGTCGATGCATATGTAGCTTCAATAAAAGAGTCATGGGTTCAATCAGTATGTACTTTGACGTCAGATCTTTGGTCGGATATGAAAAATCGGTCATTCTTTAATGTTGTTGCATCTTGTCTAAAGGGATCAATTTTTTTTAATGCATTTGAGGAATCTGAGCATAGCATAACTGGATTATTTCTTGAAAAGATTATTGTTCAAGTCACTGAGGAGTTAAGACCACAAAATATTGTTTGTCCTGTGACTAACAATGGATTAGATTATGTACTTGTTGGTGATCTAATAGAATCGAGATTCTCTCATATTCATAAAACACGGTGTACTATCCATGGGTTGAATTTGCTTTTAGAAAACATTGATAAAAAGGTTATTTGGGTACAAAATGTCACTAAGGATGCTAAGCTAATAGTGGATTTTATGTATCAGCATACCATTGTTTTAGATTTAATGAGAAAACACACTAATAGAAAGGAATTGAAAAAGTATGGTAAAACTAGATTTGCCACTAACTTTTTGATGGTTCAATCTGTATTGCATGTAGAAGAGGTTTTGAGAGTGATGGTTGCATCATCTGAGTGGAGAGCTATGAATTATAGCAATAGTAAAAATGGTACAAAAATCACAGATATAATTCAAAGCTCCAAATTTTGGAATGATCCGACAGATGCAATGACTACATTAGCGCCTCTTATCAAGGTGCTTCGTTTGGGTGATAGTGAGGGGTCAACCATAGGATATTTATATGAAGCAATGGAAAGGCCAAAGGGAGCACTAAAAATAAATTATAATGGCAATGAATCTAGGTATCTTAAATTGGTGAAGATATTCGAAAAGAGGCGAAAGGAAAATATAATTCACCCCATTCATGCCGCTGTCTCATTTCTTAATCCAACTTTAATGTATAGTGGATATGTTAAACTTGATAATCCTAAAGTGAAGGCTGGTTTGACCTTGATTTCAAATTCAATGATCTAGGCAAAACAAAAAACTGTATTCTTTTCAGAGTTGTTGAAGTACCATACGCGGGATTCAAATATATTTGATGGTGTTGCATTGGGATTATTCTCAACAACTCATCCTCGTAAGTATCTTCTTAATTATCAATTTTTTGTATTTTTTTGTATTATTATTATTTATTAAAATAAATTTTATCTTACTTTTAATTGTATCTTGAGTATGTGGCTAAAAAGTTCCTATTATGCAAGAGTTTGGTGGGAAGTATGGGAAGAAAGCATTCCAGTGGTTCGAATGGTTGCCATTCGGATTTTGATTCAACCATGTAGCTAATCAGCGTGTGAAAGAAATTGGAGTGTTTTTGAGGCAACTCAAACCAAAAAAAAGTATAGATTGACACCAACTATGTTAACCGATTTAGTTTACATACGAGTGAACTCGAAGATGATGGCTGCATCACGTGAAAATGAAATTCGATATTGTAATACAATTAATCTAAAACAACTTGGTTCATTGTCGGAAGAGGTTTCCGAAGAGGTGGAACATAAAGACACCTCTTTAGATGATGATGATGATGATGATGGATGGCTACATGACTTGGGGATTATATCGTCCCAAACTCCTAACTTTTCTTTTGACTCTACCCTGTCTTATGCTTAATTTTGAATATTTCTAGTTAATTATGTTTTGAATATTCGATGACTGGATGAGAGTCACGAGTCATCTAAATTAATTGACTTAATTATATCAGTCTAGTAAAGTTTTTATGAATGGATTAGTTATTGATGGCTTTGACATAATTTTTATTTTTAGAATTTCAAAATTTCTAACATTTTAACTTATCTGATCTTTTGACTCCGATTTTTTGAGCTCAGTCCGATATATTGGCGATATCTTTACATGAAGTATTTTATCATATCAGAATTTTTTATCCGATTTTTTCATGCAACTTTTAAAATTTTTCCCGATTTTTTCCCGATTTTAAGGTAAGCCAATTTATTGAAAGTCCCCGACTTGCTAACTATGATGGAGAGCACCTAGAGTTCATGTGGCTGAGGCCTCAAAGTCCTTCGACTATTCATCCTATTTCTCAACCTTCTTTGTTTCAGTATGGGGGTTGGGATTCTTTGCCTACAATGCGCAAACAGGCAGGCAACAAGCCATGGATCAATTTCTTCTTCATCTTCACCTTCTTGAACATGACCTTGCTTGATTTCCTCCTGATTTTGAACTCTGGCAAGCCTGATGCCTTTGAGAGGTGGAAATCCCTCAGAGCTGCCACCATCGGGTCCATAATCGTGCTCACCGCTGCGTTTTTGGTGCATTTGTGGATTAGTGTTCCTCCTGCCCTGGTGTGGGTGGTTTGGTTTGCCTGTGGGATAACTTCGTTGAGTGGTGTGGGCATGGCTTTCATGTGTAAGAGCCTCCAGGAGAGTACTTTGGAAAAGAAGAAGCCCAAACAAGTGGAGGGTGCTTCAAAGATGTGAAGAGAGGGAGAGACAAGTAGGCGTGCTCTGCTTAAAAAAGACTAAAACAACCACCATTATTAGTTAACAGCTTTTGTTTTAACCTAATTGGTTTTTTTTGTCCAGAAGTGTTGTGCAGGCTTTACACCAAAGCGTGGTGTAGCCTAACAAAAGCATATATATATATAGCCTGGTTCAAATGACAGGATGTTAGAGATAAGTAGGCGTGCTCTGTTTTCTTTGTTTAAATTATTATATTAGTTGGTTTTTCGTTTATGGATTATAATGTAGAACACTGCAAATAATCATTTGGTATGGCCTCTTCACTTCCTTTCAAGTCCTCTCTTAGTGTTTTTCCTCTCACCCACCTTTTTGTTTCTGTGAAATAATATTTATACATGATTACTTGCCCAGATTCAGTTCTTCTTGTGTAGCAACAAGGCGCCAAAGAGAAAGAAGATTCACAGTGTGAGATTCCAAGCTTTTAGCAATGGCAATCTTACAAAAAGAAAATTTAATTGCAACCACCCCTTCTACAATCATCTCACTTCGAATTTTTGGTGCCATTCCATATCTTCATTTCTCATTTTAATTTTTCCTTAAGACCCATACTCTGTTTCTCATTTCCTTTGTCAATGGATAGTATGAGGCTCTGACCAATAAATGCCCAGGAGAAACGAAATAAATTTTTTGTATACATGATTTCTGATTTCATGTTTGCATGAGGTATTAACCTTACACTATTGAAGTAACCTGAAGTAAGATGCACCTCAATACTGTGCTGGAAGATTCCAGTTTTGGTATCAAAAAGCCTTATGACCTATAATTATGATATTTAAAGCGTTAAAAATGTGGTAGATCTAGCAGAGCTACTAACTATTGGAAAAAGGACGATTCAGATAACATCTTACAAGAAACATTATTTTCATCTATTATTTTTTTTGAGGTCAAGATAATCAATTTGAGGGCTGTTTAGAACCAGAAACACCTTGTTCGATGGATTATTAAGAAAAAATGTGCAATATATTGGTCTTGCAGGAAAATCTGCCCTTCAAAAGTTCTCTTCTCAAGATCTGGATAATTTCAATTCAAAATGTATCCGCCTTCATAGAAATCAATGGACAATTAATAATAAAAGCAAAACTCATTAACTCACTGACTTGGAAGAACCCAAAATCCTAATTTCTTAAAAGTCCCGATTTATTCCGAGAAAATGATCAAAACACAAATGATCAAAATAATCCTATCGAAAAAAAAATTTGACAATCTCAATAGAGTTTTATATTGAATGGGATAAAAACTAGAGGCATGGGAAAATAAAAGGAAAGAAAATATATAAAAAAAAAGAAAAATATCTCTATAAACCCCATTTCCTAACTTTTCATTTCTTCTCACACCCAACATTTGAAAACGTATCTTCTAACCCCAAATAACTTTTTTTACTTTTATTCCAACTTTTAATTCAAACAAATTAAAAAAAACATCTTTTTTCTAATTCTCTCCCTCCTCACCTGTTTCAATCTCTCTCCTCACATGTTTCTCTCTCTAGACTTTTTCCTTTCTCAGCTCCTAGATTTTCTGGCGAGGTGCCGGCAATCGTCCTTGAAAACCCAAGGCCCTGAACCTCTTGAGAAATCTCTCTCCTCACATGTTTCTCTCTCTAGACTTTCCACTTTCTCAGCTCCTGAATTTCCTGGTGAGGTCTCGGCAATCGTCCTTGAAAACCTCAAGGCCCTGAACCTTTTGAGAAACAGTCTCAGTTTTCCAGCAGCTGGAACATTTTCCAACGGGTCAAGCTTTAAAGTTTCAGAGCCCTGAACCTCTTGAGAGACGTCTTTTTCTAACTCCCTCTCTCCCCTCACTTGTTTCAATCTCTCTCCATATATCGAAAGAGAGAGAGGGGTTGTCCTTTGAGTTGGTATTCCTTTTTCTGCCAACCACTTTCTCTTTCCTATTTTCTACTTCATTATCTCTACATTCCCTCCCATAATCCTCTTCTAAGGCCGCAGAACCGGTTGACGTTTTCTCTCTACTCAAAAAATACTCAAATTTCAATCATGTCTCCCAAATACATGCCTTCTTTCTCACTCTAGACTCTCTATATACCCATTTCACATAGGCAAGATCCTTGGTTTCTATCTGAATTTTGGTCCTTGTCATTTGAACCAGGCTAGAATGGTTTTCGACCATGTCAAGAACAAGAGCACATTTTTTTGGAATTCCATGATCAATTCATATTCCGATGGTCCTTCACCTGTAGAAGCTCTCTCTCTCTCTCTCTCTATATTCAAATGCCTAGAGAAGGTGCAAACCCCAATAAATTCATGTTTTCTTCTCTTTTAAAGGCATGCAATCTTCGGTCGTCTCCCCTAGAAGGCAAACAGATTCATTGTCAAGTTTTAAAGCTAGAGAGATGAATGGATGGGTTCATTCAAAGTACTCTTATTGATATATATGTCAATGCTGGTGGATTATTCACGCCAAGTTTTCGATGAAAGTTCTCAATTTTATGTGGAATGTTGCACTACCATGATTAATGGGTACATTCGATTTGGAAGTTTAGGCGAAGCAGGCCAACTGTTCGATGAAATGGTGGAGAGGGGTATTATTTCTTGGAGTGCCATGATTTCTGGTTATGTTCAGATGGGTAGACATAAAGATGCTTTCTCTCTCTTTCATAAAATGCAGCTCGAAAACAAAAAAATCCAAGCAGGCAATACTTGTAGCCGTCGTCTTCTTTGCGTTCTCTCTATCTAGGCCGGTGGGTCCATTCTTAAATGATAAAATCCAGGGTTTCCGAGAATTTGGAGCTCTCTACTTCAATGGTTGACATGTATTCAAAATGTGGGGCATTGGAAATGACTCTGAAATTGTTTAGAAAGATCCCCACAGAAGATGTTGGTTCATGGAATGCCATGATCTCTGGCTTGGCCATGCATGGCCATGGCCAAGAAGCCATTGAGCTGTTTCATGAGATATAGAGAGAGAGAGGGTCTGGGAGGTTCATCCCGGGAGAGAGAAAGGGAATCATCAAGAGAAGTGGTTTAGAAACCATGTTTTTTTAAAATTTGTTTGGGTCAACTTTAATAAAAAATAAGTAAAATTTATTTAAGGGGTTACGAGATATAATAATTTGACTTTCTATGTAATAAGATAGGTTTTGCATGTCACTTGAGAAATGAAAATTCAAAATGAAACCTATAAAAAAATTTCCCCTAAAAAAAAAAAAAAAGCAAAAGAGAGGTAGACACCCTACTCTAGCTATAAGAAGGCTCGTTGCTCTTAAGTGTAAGCCCCATGTTTTGGGGTTACTGGGCCGTACTTTTATTTTGAGGCATTTCCCCAGCCACCCTCGCCCACTCCCATTCCCCTTCCCCAAGACTTTTCAATTTTAATTAACATTAATGCTCTATACCAGTGCCATGTGACTCGCTCGAGTCCACTTGAACTCGGGCAAGTTAGTTGGCTTCGCCCTATGGGCAAGGCCAAGTTGGGGCGAGCTTCATGAAAACTGTGGTGTCAACCTTATAAACATAGTTAAAAAAATAAAAAATAGAAATATGTAGAAACACTATTGAATTTGTTAGAACTAATGGTTTAGATGATTTTGATAGTTTTTAAGATGATTTGAAGATTTTTATACATAAATTTTTTAAATTCTATGAAATATATAAAATAAAAAATAAAAAATCTCAGCAATCAATAATTTATAGATCTTATTCAACTTTTTCGTCTTCTAATGTTTTATGCTATCTCTTTGATACAAAGTGGTCACGAGTAATCTTAACTATTAGATGTTAAAGTAGGTGGCTGAATTTATTTCATCGACCAAAATCAAAATTCAAAAGAAATTTTTTCGAATTTTGTGATATATCCAAGTTATCAGATATCATATTGGATGGTTACAAGTACTTCACCTCTTTGCACCAAAGATAAAATAGTCTCATTATATGCAATCCTTTTATTTTTTACTTATTTTAATTTTTTTTAAAAAATATTACCATTCTTTGACCTTTAGTGACCATATATGACTCGAGCAAGCCTATAGACGGTTGAGTTACACGCCTCAATCAAGGTCTGAGTACTTGGACGAGACAGGTTTCTAAACCTAAGTACATGTAATACTAATGTATAAATGGGTGCGGTTTTAATAGAGCTAAGGCTCTAATCAATCAAACTAGAGCGCACCTTCGAATAGTATCATGAAAATGTGATTTTAATAGTGGAAATTTTTATGGTCACCATAAAATGTATATTTCATCTCAATTCATAAAATTTAAAGCTTCAAAAATAGTGTAGTTTGAGCATATCTATGAAAATCTTGAAAATTAATGCTCCAAACATGCATTACAAGATGCACTATTTCCAAAATTTGAAATCCATGTTTTTTCTCATGTCCATACATCTTGATGTCGAGATGATCAATTTGAAGATATTTGAGCATCAAATCAACTTCTATTAATGAAAATTTTGAGGTGCGCTCTAATTTGATTGTTTAGAACCTCGGCTCGATAAAAACCTTTTCTTATATAAACTGATCACTATGTTGTACATTCATGGTATGTAATATATACAAAATTGATCACTCCACAGTACACTTGTGGTCTGCTGACTACAAAAATTGTTCTCTTTCTTGGTGCTGGTAATTATGGTCTATATACAAAATTGAACGCTGTACTATACTGTAGTCCACCGACCACAAAAAAAATGACTCTCCCTCTCCTAGCGTCTGGCGTGTTGGGTTTGGGCACACAATGCCGTCCAATAGTGGGTCCAAGCATAATGTATCAACCCCTTATAACATTTCCATGTCCAAAACTGCTATCGAAATTGGCATGGGCTCTAAATCAAACAAGCCATTACTTTGTGGACCCGGTTTCTATGCGGCCAAGCCTGCATACGTAGAAATGTGGACCTATTAATAAATCTATTTTTTATATGGATTTTTGGATTTAATTTTTAAGAATATGTAATCTCTAACATGGAGATCATGAATATGAAAAATAAGTAAATTTTAAGAA